GGTCCGCATGACAGCCCCTCTGGCCGTCCTTGGCAAGGCTCGCCAGTGCTCTAGGCCCGCCCAGCCCAGCCCTCGCCCCAGGCCTTTGATAGCCCTCCGCCACCCCGCCAAACCCGTGGCTCGGACACAGCGGTGGCGGAAGGGGGAGGGGGCGGGTTCGCCTTGGGTCACACCCTGCCCCCCCCCCCTCCCCCACCCGCCTCGGATCCGGAGAGGAGCGAGAGGCTGACTGTGACTGACTGTCCACTTTGTGCAATAATGACGTAGGGCCGCTTAGTGCTCAATCCAGCGTCCCAGCTCGCAGACGCGCGGGGAAATTTGCGGATCAGCTTGCACCGAGGCTCTCGCCGAGTGTACAGCTCTGCAATGCATGGCGAAAATTGTCTGGAGACAATTCGCCTTGGCGTCTACTTGCCCGTGCTTGGTGGTGTCAAGAGACAACTAGTTTCTATGGCCCTCTTGGCTGCTCTTTTTGATGCTCTTTTTCCTACTGTGGCCGACGCCTCAAGCAGCGTACTCTTCCGCGACCTGCACTGTACGCTGACTGTCGATAATTCCATATTTATCGGCAGCGTATAAGTACATCCTCGTTTCAATGACGCAGTTCTGTCGTATTCCATGTGATTTCTCTGGGACTCAAGGTCTTGTGTTGCTTATCGAGTGAAAGATTCAAGATAAAATTTGAATCGATCCTGATTATTGACACAAGTCACTGGATCAATCAATCTACAGAGCCGAGGTCAGCTAAGCAATGACAGGCATTTGAAGCCTACTTTTATCAGCTTCCAAAATGTTGAAATTAATAACGTTTTAAACTTACGTTTATGTTTATGTCCTTCTTGCATCTGTCAAGCTCAGAATCTCTGCTCATTGTATACGGCCTATGGTTTAAAAAATACTCAACTTGAGAATATATTAACTCATATTTGGAATTTTTTATTACTCTTGTGTGTGTCACTCACGCCATAGACTCTTGTACTTTGTGTTTATGCAAGCTAACTTTTTATTCCATTTTCATTAAGATATTTTTTTTTTCCAGGTATTGAAGTTTATTTCGAAGTGTATTTCCGACGGCGACTTTGAAACTCTAGAAGAAAAATTTATGCCTGAAGCCCTTACCAAAGCTCAATCTCTGGTAACATTAATGAGTACAGAAAAAAAGAATGCCTTAGTTTTCCCTGGAAGCAGCCAGAACTTCTTTTTTGCAAGTGAACTTTCTCATTTTGCCCCATGGAACTTTGCTC